ACATTCAATGACGTTTGACAAACCCCAGGTCCTTGCAAAAGAAGTCCGTTATCTACCAATGATGCTGCGTTTAATAATATGATAAGTTTAATAATATTCACATTTAAAAATATATCACTTACTTATGTAAAAGATTTGTTTATAATTCATTGTGAACAGTAAGAAATTATTGTTTTTTAGATAATACTTTTTTCTCCTAGTTTTAGAACCTATTTTTTGTTATTTTCTTATTATTACGATCCTGTACTGTCCCACAGAAGAGTAAGTCTCTTCACTCTCTGTCAATTTGCCCGTTAGTTATTATAGTTCAAACCTTTAATTAAATTTTTCATTTCAAACCAGCATACATACTAATAATATACTACTTTTTCTGTAATATGTTACTACAAAATCGCTTAAGTGACTTTACATGGAATCTAAACAAGATATTGGTAAATTTACGTTATTTTCCTACAAAATAAGTCGCAAAGAAGTAGCTACAGAATTCAGGTGGTAAAGCATAATTAAATGGCTAAGATATTAAGTTTTTTGTTCTTCCTAAATCGTGAAAACGTTGATACGCGGTATTTACAAAATGCTCTTCCGCGGTCTTGCACGCGCAGTAACGTAATATTACTTTTTATATAATACATCTTCCTCTCTTTAGTCTTTTATTGCTTCCTCACATTGTTTAAGAAAAGCACAATATATGCCTCGGCGGAACAGGGATTGCTTGACTCCTATTAATACATGTAACTCTTACTTGTCCAGCAATCCCTTACTTCCCGAACTCTGTAGTAATTATACTATTATTCTCATTACAATTAGATACGCTTTCCCAAAATCGCTTTTTAGTTTCAATATTTTACATCACGAAGCCATTCCAACCGCTACACGGCGCAAAGGCTCACAATAACTTTTGCAAAGCAACTGTCCGGTTTCGGGGATCCCGGGACTAACTCCGGGACAGTCCTGGACAGTCCGGGATAAGTTTTAAGGTTTCTTGTTATAGACGACTGGAATTATTTCAGTTTTGCATGCAGAAAATGTTGAGTTGCATTAATTTGCGCGATTTTGTTGAGTTAACATACTGAAATGGTACACTTTAAATGGCTGCAGTATTCCTATTTTGCAAAATTTAGACTTTGTTGTCGGGTGAATAGAATCATTATTGAGAAACTCATCGTTAAACCATTACACATATCAGAGCTGATCACAGGTCTCCCGTAAGGAAAGATAGGCTTCACTAGCAGTAGAGCTCCTTGTGAAAGATTTGGTCTAGGGAAGTAATGCTACCTTACCTATTTCTGTCATCAAGCAGTAATGTGAGTGCTGGCGAAATTACAGGCACATGGGACTCTTTAGCTTATGTCTCCGGGTGGTAGGCGCAGTGGCACTGCAACCAAGAGCACGACTTGTTCGTCCCATCATAAATAAAAAAGGTTTAGGTCATATTCTGCCACCCTGGCCCAATACGAGTCGGAAACTTCAGTAGTAGTAGCTCCTTTCGAAAGAATTGGTTAAAAGAAGTACTCTGCTCGCCTTGTTATAAAAAACGCATTTGAATATTGGTAACTTTCGATACAATGGCGCCTAATGTTTTTTCTCTGACATGAAAACGATGATAAAGATTCGGAGAGACAGCGTCGGGCTCTCGCTGTGGTCGGTAACATGATCACCAGAAGGTTTAGAAAATGTCAAATGTCTATAACGTTAGAATACACCTGTTCAAGACCTATTATCAAAGTTTCTATACTTGTCAACTTTGGATAAACTACACAAAGGCGTCTCTCGATGCCTTACGTGTTCAGTACAATAACACATTCAGATATTTGATGGGCCTGGAGCGGCGGCACTGTAGCGCTTCTGGCATGTTCATGCAAGCTCGTACCGACACGTTCTGTGCCATCGTGTGACGTCGTCTAGCTTTTTTTATGGGTAGGCTTGGACGTAGTAGGAATGGCTTAATTCGAGAGTTGTTTGCTCGCCTGACTACCACGTCAATGTACAACCGTTGGCTCGAAATCACCATGAGCTGGACTCGAATTAATGTTACTTTATTTTATCTTATTATTATTATTATACCCATTGACCTAGGCCAATGATTATACCTTTTGTTTTTTTTTAATTTGACTTGTTTTTATGTGACATTTTTTTTTTAAAGTTGTTAGATTGTTTTTAAAAGTATTAATTGTATTGAATTTAATTGTATTTTCTTTGACTGAAATAAACAATTAAGATTATTATTATTATTAAATGTCAATTACGCTTATATTGACTTAACAATAAAACTAAATTCCCTCTAAAAACCGCTTAGAGGGAGTTGTAGATCTCGATTTACTGATTCTAGATATCGTAACAACTCAATTTCGCTAAAATGCCGATTGCGTTGTTTATGACAAGGGCGGCAGTACCGCCATCTTACTTATTTTTGCCGCAATCAGCATTACTGCGTTCCGGTTTTGAAGGGTAAGGGTGCTAGTGAAATTACAGGCACATGGGACTTCTCAACTTATGTCTCAGGGTGGCTGGCGTAGTGGCAGCTCTGACTGGCACTGCAACTGTTATAGACAGGCGTGTCGCTTACCACCAGGCGCACGACTTCGTCGTCCCGTTGTCACTTGGTATCATAAAATAGCTTCATACGATGTGCTGATTTCATGTGTGATGTTTTCCTCCACCGTTAACGAAAGATATTGTTCTTAAACATTTATAATTCTGCGTCATTGACCTTCCCCGTAAACTCTGCGTAAATCATTTTTTTTTTAATGCACACACTCACACCAGTGAAGTCCTAGGTCCTGTAATTTGTGGTTGTGTACACAATTACAAATTACACCCAAATTCACGAGAGAAATAAATATAGGCCATACAAATATTTCTCCCAGCCCGGGAATCGAACCTGGGACCTCTGCGTGGCAGTCCAGTATGGTAACCGTTCGGCCACGGAGGCAGTTAATATTACTGTGTATGTGTGTATTTATGTGTGTAGGTTTATATTTCAGTCATATTTATATTGTCGTCATTGATAATTTATATTTATTTACATTTAAATTTTAATAAATTTATTGTAGAATTAAGTCTCGCAGACTTACTTTATTCAGGGTTGGCTGGAAAAGATCTTCTACAGATAATCTCACCTTTGTGTAGTCCTTTGTAGCGTGTAATTTTTAATGGGTTTTATTGGTGCAATAAGGAATTATAATAACTTAGAAGTTAAAGTCATAGTAGATGCCACCAATAGGATTTATTATATTTACATTTTAGAGTTTATTTAGTGCTCCTTAAAACTCCGCCATATACCTCTTATTTGTAGATTGACAAATTTGAAAAAGTAGGTGCATAAAATTTTCGGAATTCCCGCCATATTAAATCTAACACAGCGCTAGTCCGGGTGCCGGTGGTAAATCCCGTGCAACGTCTGTCGCGCCGTCACGGCTAGCGTTTCAACTGGGAATGGATGGGCGACATGTGCAATAGACAACGGCTCAATAACGAGTTTACTTGTTAATAAATACAGAATAAAAACTAATAACTCCATATTTATTGTTTAAAAAAAGTAGTCCCCTAGGCGACTACTTAAAATCAATAGACAATTCTAGAATGAATTTATTAAGTACCAAATAAAATTATTTTTTATAGCAAAGATATAGTTCAAATGGCAAAAGATATTGTACAATGGTTTTTATTCTACTAATATTATTAATAGCTTGGTTTGTAAAGTACTCTATGTTAGATTTGAGTATACCATTAGAAATTAAGCAGTAAGTCAACTGCGAACATGTGACCTCTAAAGAGCCCAAAACGTTTTGGTTTGCTTGAAAAAATAAATATACGCGATTTTAGATCCAGAGAACTGGCTTCATTTTCCAGAAATCGAGTTGTAAAATGTATTCAAGGAAGTTGTCTAAAATAGATGAGTCTAGAAAATATGATTTTATAGCAGATTTCTGTATAGATAGTAATAAAAATAGATATTTATTTTGTACTCCGTTCGTATATTGAAGGCTCACCGTCGGGCGTCCTGCGGCGGACACCAATGGATTTATCGCTGAGATTTAGACAAGTAAGCTGCTTTGTCTTTGAGACAACAAACGTTCGGCTCCTCGACTATTTTCAAAGGGACATTTTTATATCCAACTTTTCTTTAATGTTGAAACAAATTTAACGATTTGTATTATAACAATTTTAAACTCTGCATGTATAAAATTGTCAAATTTTCAATTTTTATATTTAGGGTAGACTGGATTTTCAATGTTTTTTTTAGTTTTTTTAGTCACACAGTTTTAACACTATCATCTGAAAATATAATGGTCTTCGCTTATGAAAGTTTACCTTCATAATTATAATCGCATTAACACAACATCATGGACCCATTGCACTACGTCCTTCTTGACGATCTCGATAGCCCCACGGTTTCCAGTATAGACACTGAATAAGGAGTTCCCGGGTTCGGTTCTCAACAGGACCAGTCTGAGATCATTGACTCATGAGTTATTTTTTCTTTCTAGCATTCGTAGTACAAGGAATTTCCTAGTTCGAAACCTGGTAATTGCTATGATTGTTTGTCACATTATTATTTTGTAATTCCCACTACGTTGGTCGAATACGGATTCTGATCTTTCTTCTTCGAAACAATCCCGCGAAATGTTTGAAATAAAAACCATTAAAACCCAACCGCAATGTTGTTATCTGAAGCAATCTTGATCTTTCAGGAATTAATGAAGACAGCTAACATTTCAACGAGTTTATAAATAGGTATACCATGGTTAAGTAAACTGTAACTGGAAACTATTACCGACAGTAATTGTGATCGAACTTGGTTTATTACAAAACACGTATAAAAGATATTGTAACCGTTATATAGTTTTATTATTTTTATTTAAAGAAAATCCATTAAAACGAATCGGAAATGTTAAGTTTAATGTGAATTTTATTCAAAATTTTGTCATAAAAACCAGAATTAAAATAACACCAGTAAAGTTCAAATTGCGATTACAGTATGTGGAAAGTAAAATAATATGTTTCTGCTGTTGATGTTACTTTTATTTACAAAAAATGGCAATACTGGAAATATAAAAACTGACGAAATAACAACTAAAAATTTACCACCAGCCACAATCAAACATTACCCTTTCATAGTGGGCATTAGCTACGTGGATTCTTTGGCGTCACAAATGTTTTGTACCGGAAGCCTCATTGAAGAAAGCTGGGTCCTCACGGCTGGCGATTGCGTGGCTAAGCAAAGAGAATATTTTATCACTTATACTAAAACAACTAATTATCAACAAAGTTTTGTGGACGTGAAAGTGCTTAGAAGAATTCTGCACCCAGAATACACTAAACATAATCATGCCAAGAATATAGGGCTAATGAAAATCGAAAAAGTTAATGACATATCCACGTACGCGCAATTGTCAACAAGCGACTATACGAAGCGTGTAATGTTGCCAGTTCTTTACGCCAGATATTCGTATAAAAAATGTGCATTGCATCTAGAAAGAATGCATATTTCCCACTGCCCAAATAAAGACGTAAAATTAAAAAAGTTTATTTGTGTTGATACTACACCAAGTACATTGTTCTATGACGGAGTACATCTTTTACACAATCATACTAAAGTAATAGGCATTTACAGTGGGATGACAAAGAGGTTTGTGCGTATCAGCGACCACTACCACTGGATTCGTGAACAGAGAGAGAAAGATCCCTTAAGCATTCTTAGTGTTGCGCTGAATGTAGAAATTGATGACGAGGGTTCACAAAACTAAACAACATGTAAAGTTTTCCATCAAGCGCGGGTAGATTTTGTCAATTATGAGCGGCCATGTTGTTGAAGTTGTTTTTGTCAAATTTGTTGTTTATTTATCAGTCCCTAAAGATAAATATCATGGCTAGTTACTGCTTTGAGCAACACGTGCAAATGATAAAAATGTATTATCATAATGGGTGTTCTATTGTGGCAACGATGCGCGCGTAATAGACTGCCTCGGATTATCCTGAATACTCTCAGGAACAGTGGCGGTGTTTTCGGCAGATCTTATGTTTCGTTGACGTACAGGTGTTGACTATGGTTTACAAAAACTGGTTGCGTCCGTCACCGAGAGACATAAGTTCAAAAGTCTCATGTGCCTGTATATAAATTTAAATATTGGCATTTTTAGTACATCACTAAGACTTTTTGTTTTATAACAAAAAAGATAGATAACAAAATTTACATCCGGTCATTTAAAATGCAATAATAAAACAAAAAAGAAACAACTTATTGTAATAACTCTCTCAAATAGCCAAGGAAAGATTAGATTCCTTATTTTATGTGGTACATTTTTATTATTATTTAATTGTATTCCTAAGTTTTCTTCAAGTATGTAAGTAATTATTAAAATATTATATTAATAATAATGAAAGTAATAAATATTTTGTTTAAAAATATCTTTCATCTTGTCATTTTCAATAAATCAGGTAGTAGTAGGTATAGTGGGTGAATGTTAATTCATACAAAGTTTTTTATTGAAAAATAATAATAACGCACACACGCATAGCACACCCCGGACACTCCATACAACGGTCGAAAGTTAGTTACCTACTACTACTACATACAGCGACGCGCTATCTGCACATGCATTATTTCGTTTAACCAAGGTAAACAACTCTTTTATGGGGAACTGTATACGTTTTTACAATAAGATTCCGGAGCATATATTAAGTTTATCATTTCCTAAGTTTAAAAACTACATTAAAAATATTTTGATCGAAAAATCATATTACAAAATTGAAGACTACGTGTTAGATAAAGATGTATGGAAAGACGACATGGCTCCAGAATCCACACAAATTTGATTCAAAGCGTATTCCATAGCATTTAAATTTATTTGAAAAGAGCAATCCCTAGAGTTTCTTGCTCGTTCTTCTCAGGGAGGTCAGCGCATTGAACGAGCAATAGCTTAAATGTGACGTTTTCAAGTGGAAATTTATTTTACCTATGGAATAAATAATCTTTGACTTTGACTTTGACTTTGCGCAAATGTGTGCGTGAAGTCGCAGGGTTACTCATCAGAAACTGTTATCTATAATTCTATTAATAGAATTACACATGTTCATTAGGTACCTTTTAATATCGATATAATATTATATTTTTCATAAATTCACTAACTATGTAGAATAATATTGAAGATATATTTTAAAAATATATTAGCATTTAAGTTTATCATTACCTAGTGAATAATTAGGTATATTCACTATGTAATATGTATCGGCAATACAAATTGAAAATTTGAGAAGTTTTGTCGTCTAGCTCACGAAGTTATGGCGTCTCATTGTATCTGTATTATGTGTTACTCTGCACTAAATAAATGAAGAGATCAATAACTGAATGAGTCTCAGACAAGTCTCTTTTCCTTGTTTTTTTCCATCTTTCTGAAAACGAAAGAAACTCCTCTCTTTATCACGTTTAGTTGATAATCAACAGCCGTACACAGCACAATTCACCGCCATTATAAACATTAACGTAAAATAATGTTATACATTAACGTACAAGTTTCGTAATGAATAAATGAAAACTATATTCAAATAATCAAAGCCGTCTTAGCGCGAAAACGGCTCGCCGATAGCCTTATTGTCGTTCAGTCAAAGTGATCGTCAATGTGCAGAGTCTGGTGTGGTATCTAAAGCTAGGGAGGGGCGGAGAGTGTTCGTTCTCGTTACTTTTTAAACGACTTCAAAAAAGGAGGAGGTTCTCAATTCGACTGTATGTTCTTTTTTTTTGTATGTATGTTACGCGATAACTCCGGTTTTTGTGAACCGATATTCATGATTCTTTTTTTATTGGAAAGGGGGTACTTCCATAGTGGTCCCATTTCATTTTGAAGAAAATCATCCACCTCGAAGGGTGGCTTTTCACGCATGAAGATTCATTTTTATAAATAGCGCCTAGCTTTGATTTAGGAGCAATTATTTTAATGGTTGATTTTGCTATTTCTCCAATTCAAGGCGTTTTTCTCTCAATATACTTTGAGTAGTGTCGTAGCGAGAACCTATTTTTATTATCTCCAGTGTCAAGCCCTGTATAGTGGCGAACTAGGGGATATTTCAATAAAACTTAGCAAATAGACGTAATTCCACGTACTTTTGAGGTCGGTTTTTTTAGTACTCTGTACCGAGATTATTTGTTCTTTGGTCATAGCCCCGCAATAGGAAACTCTGCATCGCGGGTGCCATTTACACACACATGAACAATCACAAATTACACCCAAACTCACGAGGGAAATAAATGTAAGCCATACAAATATTTCTCCCGGCCCGGGAATCAAACCCGAGACCTCTGCGTAGCAGTCCATCATGGTTACCGTTCGACCACGGAGGCAGTGAAAATTGTACCTTACGTCAAATGAAGTGAAGAGTTAATTCTTAATTTGCAGTTTACTGGTTTGAACCTACCGCCTCTCATGCAGAGGTCGTAGGTTCAAATCCCGTTCGAATCGCACCTATAAATTTGAAATTTACCATGAGCTTTGCGGTGAAGAATAACATAGAAATAAAACCTACAAGAGGTTCACAAACCTCAAAAAACGTATAAGTCACCAACCCGCATTGACAGCGTGGCGGGCTATGGCTAAACCCTCGCCTGAGAGGAGATCCGTGCCCATCAGTGGGTTGATGTTGAAAAGTCACATTAGTGCCTTAATTTTTTTTATGCCCAGTTTGTATACGTAAAAACCTGAGTATTTTTCAAAGCGACGCGATCGAAGTCGTATGCAATAGCTATACTTATTTAGAAGCCTTGCCCGGATGTGACAGCATTATTCAAACGAATTGGGGCCGCATTTATTAAACTCAAAACCAGCACAAAAGGATCATATTGAATTGTAAGGAAGGGGAACAAGAAGCTGACTAAAGTAGATACGGCTTTTGTGGAAAAAATATAACTTCACTTTGCCAAATTTTTAATATCTTTAAATAAGGAAATTGACGTCACTCTTAAAAACTTATACGTTATGTAACATACAAATAAAAACAAATTTCCCCAAGAATTAGGGTCGTATTCTAGAATTCTACTCAATGCTCAAGTCAGGATTTGAGTATGGTTTAAAACACTCCAAATCATACTCAAGTCCCTGCCATTAGGGTCGTATTTCCAGTGCTTGTGTTTCCAGTGCAATCCTGACTTGAGCATTGAGTAGAGTTCTAGAATACGACACTTAGTAAAAGTTTATTGACAGAGCTAGGTTGCTATATTTTGCATTACAGTCACTAAACAACAAATTTGAATGACCTTTTTTCTCCTTCAAGTTTCTTCAATTTTTCACAAAGACCAATAATTTCTATCCTTATTTCTTCAGCCAGATGTTGCATACTTTGTCTTTCAATTTGTTCTTCGCAGAGACACTGATACAATAGGCGCTCTGTTTCAGTTTTCAACTGAATACTTAACAATATAAGTTTCCGGAACTTACATAAACAATATTTAAAAAGTAATTACAACATTTGATAATGGAACTCTTTGGCTGTAGAATACAGTTCGTTTCATCTGACTGTCAGTAGTTTTTATACTGTGGCGGCATTTTACAAATTGGTTGTCTACATCACCATGGATTTAACTCGTGAAAATTTTCGTAGTATGATTTTCTACGACTTTAAGTGTAATTTAACAGCTCAGCGGAGCTTCGCTCGGCCTCAAACTGCTTTTGGCGATGAAGCACCATGCAAGACGACTATTTATAGCTAGTTTGCAGAAATCATACGCGGTCGTGTGAATCTCAGTGACGAATTTCGTGATGGTCGCCCGTCCACTGCTGTGAACAACAAAAACATCGATGATGTGCGCCGTATGATCAAAACAGACAAGCACGTGACATACCATGAGATTTGGGCATCTTTAGGCATAGGCATGAGTTAAATACAATCAATACTACACAAACATTTGGATGTGAAAAAGCTGTGTCTCGAACACATAGCCCTCCACTTGAGAGGCGGTAGATCAAACCATTAGGCCACCTCGGATTACGTCTTTTTTATTAGTTATTTTTGTAACTACATATAGTTCTTAATAGGGTTTGCATTAATATTAGAACACGGGAAAAGTGAACACGGTACCTGTAGAAAACCCGAAACGTTTGTATAAATAAACGTCGTCGACGTTTTAACACAACGTTTTAACGTCAACATCTTAAAATAAAAAAAGACCGTAATCGAAATGCACGCTCTGAGGTCAGAGTATCAACGGAATAACATTTTAACAATGAATTAAGATTATTTCAATTGAGTGTAAGTGTAACCCACATTTTTTCATCACATAACCATCATTTTTTTGCGCTGAAAGCCCCAATACTCTCATGGTAAATCAGTTATTTAAAACATGGCGCAGGTAGTTTTGGTGGAGAATGATAGACGAGTCATGGGTTGGTAAATGACTGTGTTTATATTTTGTTTGAGCTACGTATTTATACTAATTTGGTACGTGTGTCTTATGCTGATTCACAAGGCATGATTGTTACTTTTGCTTGCACTAAGACGTGCCTGAATGTCGGAAGAGGGTTAGACATTCTGGCACGTCTGTGGCTGCTACAATATTATTATACATTCTAAAACTAAGTATGCAAATATTATAAATATGTCACATCCAATATTCAAAAAATTTAGTACGTGAATGTAGTTTCGCGGTACGTCCCACGGGTCGGCGGTAGGTGACACGCACAAAGAAGCGCCAACTTCTTTCATTGTAGATTAAATTCTTTGGCTCTCGCACACCTCGTTCCGGCTATGACCCCATTAACAGCGAATAAAATCGAGTTTTATGCTGCGATTAATTGCTATGTCTATCGTGGTACCGGCGAACGTTGAAGCAAACAAATTCAAAAAGAAAGATACCTCGCTAAAGAAAACTGCACAGTTATCTAAGTTAAGATTTCATTTATTTTTTATGACGTCAAATGGCAAGATGAACAAGTCGTATGCCTGATGGTAACCGACACGTCTATTCAAAGTCACAAAGATATTAGGGGTACTACCACTACGTACAAAATAATTTTTATTAAATAAAATAATCATTTATTTTATAAATTTTGAAATGGAATAACATTGCCATTTAAACACATGATGTATTTTTATCACTGGCTACTTCCAAGATGGCCGTGCTTTTTGTTCTCATTACAGCTAAATTGTTTATTTGTTGGGGGCCTGTAACCTTTTTGGTAACCCTGAGATATAAGTTGATAAGTCTCATGTACCTGTAATTTCACCAGCACCCTTACCCTTCAAAACCGGTACGCAGTAATGCAC